TAAGATAATTCTTATCTATTATCTAGTTAGTAAATAATCCTCACCCTCCCTCTCCACCCTTGTAACCATCAAAGAATGTTTTCTTCTGCGTTTAAACCTTTTCTTGAGTTCTTATAATAGTGGTCTTAACAATATTTGTCCTTCTGTGACTGACTAAATTCACTCAGCATAAAGACCTCCAGCTTCCTCCATGTTATAAGATGTTTCACGGTTTCATCGTTGTTCTTTATCGTTGCGTAGTATTCCACCGTGTGGATATACCATAATTCTGACAACCAATCTTACAAGGGCTCCTTATTGAATATAGCAACATCCCCTCAACATATGTGATGATGAATCACCTTAAATTTATTTTTGAGCATCATGGCTACAATTCCTCAGAGATCAACCTAAGCAGAAAGGGCATTTCTTGGAATGATAACACACAGCTCACAAAATTGACTGGAAGTCTAGACAATTGGACTTGGAAGAACCAACGGAGACTGGGTAGCAGAAATAAACTGCCAGAATTCCACCACCAGCATTGTCTCCCTGGTACTTAATACCGTCATAGTACTTGAACTCTTGCCATTGCTGCTGTCACGTGTGAGTATTTTCTCCACCATCCCTGTGTTGGATATTTTCCTTTAAGATTTGAAGTCCTTTGTTGGAATGTCCAATTGACTGAGCCTGGATCATTCACCTGTTTGCTAACTCCCAAGGTGGTGCAAGAGAATATTTGCACTTAGTGCTTTCTGTAGTGGGAGATGGGCTCTTCTTTCTATCATGACCCAAAGAATGGAGCACCCTAGGGCACACCATATAAAAAGACACTCACTCTCAGGCTCATGCCAATGCCTCCTTAAATGTTTTGTGCTAGGCACCTGCCTTGCCTCACCCTAGCCCTGGTTCTGCCGACTGATCCTGCACTTCTCCTTTGCAGCACCCACCACACCTCTTTTATGTTTGCTCAGTGTCTGCCTGTCATAATAGGCTGTAATCTCCCTGAAGACAGAGGCCGTGGTTGATTTCTTTCCTGTACCCCACAGAATCTGGCAAAACTCGATATTCAACCAATTTACTGACTTAATGAGATGTATGTTTGGCATAAAATAGAGAGCAGAAATGTCTTACAAGAAAATTCCTTCTTTCAGGCCCAGATTCATGTTGGAATATTATAAAACTCGTTGCTGTTTAGTTGATTCCAATTCATGGTGACCCTATGCGTTAACAGAGTAGAACTGCTCCCTAGGGTTTTTTAGCTGTGATCGTTATGGAAGCAGGTTGCCAGGCCTTTCTTCTGTGACACTGCTGGGTGGTTTCAAACCACTTGCAGCACCCAGGGGTCTGTGGAATAGTATAAATGTTTGATATTCAACAGCTATGGAGTGATACTAAAGTACATATTGAAATCATAAGGCGAGGCACTCAACAGTCATGAGGTGACAGTCATGTCATCCACTGCTGTGATTGTCATTGGTCAGTGCTCCCATTATTAATGAGCAGATCGAAAAGTATGCCTTTGTGAGTCAGGCGGTGTCTTTTTTCACCGTTTTACCTTCTAGAGTTAGTAAGGAAACCCTGGTGGTGTAGTGGTTAAGTGCTACGGCTGCTAACCAAAAGGTCAGCAGTTCGAATTCACCAGGTGCCCCTTGGAAACTACGGGGCAGTTCTACTCTGTCTTATAGGGTCACTATGAGTCAGAATTGACTCGGTGGCGAAGGGGAGTAGTAGTACAGTTAGTAAGGATGGCATGCCTTGCCTTAAAAGCAAGATTATTGTGTATTAATGAGATTGGCTACATAAATGTATTTACTATTTTTTAAACGGATATTGTGGCAGAGTGATGTATACAGAATTTAATGTAGCAATTACCAGATGTTTTTTTTTGTCTCTGTTTTGCTTGAGCAAGCATCAGAAAAAAGAGTGGCAAGATAATTTTTTCTGCCTGTTACTGGAAGGGAAGCCAGGACTCTGTACTCTGAATCCTGGCCTCCCTTTTCCACTGGGGAGTTAAAAACCTTGTGCGTGTGTGTTTCAGGAGTTGCCCTGAAGACAACCCTCCATCTCGCCTGTTCTTTATCAGGTAGGCTCAGGCACAAGGAGGGCAGTTAGATTGCATTGTTTTGGGAGAAGTGGGATGAGGACTTTTTGCTTCAAGGGTAAGAGAGAGGAGTGGCCTGGCATCTGGGGTGTTGAATCTCTGCAGAACTAGGGGAGGAGCTGGGGATTCGGTTCCAAGGGAGTTTGATAAACCACCCTCCGGTGGCAGGTAGTTGGATGGGGTTGCCTGCATGGAAGGCAACCACTGTGGGGGCACCACTATGGCCCTGGCCCTGGGAGAAGCAGCAAAGGCCTCCATGGCTGGGCTTGTGGTTTGTGGAGAGAGCCACAGTGAGGATCATTTCTTCAGCTTCCCAGAGCTGCCGTGAGCAGCAGCAGAAGGAGTTCCTCAGCAATCTCCTGAGCATGAGGAGCAAAGGCTATGAGGATAATCCGCATGGAATAAGGACCAGGTCCTTTCTCATTTCCCAGACCATGGGGTTCTACTAGGATCAAGTGGAAGAAGGCAGGAAATGTCAATAATAATTGACACTGGACATCTCACTGCCTTTGACAAGTGCTGTCTTGGAGCTGGATTTTAAAAAATAAAGAAATACATATATCCTAAGGCTTGAGTGTGGTGGAGCATTCATAACTGGTAAAACCTGTTGCTGTAGAGTTGAGTTCAACTCATGGCAATCCCATGTGTGTAGAGCAGAACTGCTCCACTGGGTTTTCAAGGCTGTGACCTTTCAGAAGTAGATTGCCAGGACTTTCTTCTGAGACACCTCTGAGTGGGTTCAAACATCCAACCATTTGGTTGGTAGTCAAGGGCTTAACTGTTTGCACCACCCAGGGACTCCTAATTGGTATGTGACCATTAATATTTTAATGAGTTTTAGAAGAAAAAGGATTACTAGCATCTTTTTTTTTTCATGGAACACTACTTGAAACAGGACACAGTTGGGGGTATGCTAGTGTAGAGGATTTCTCTAGAATCCAGCTCCTCTAAACTAGCCCCCCCAATCATTTATGTAACCTTGGCCCTTATATTATTTTTTGTGAGCCTCAGGCCCTCACCTGGACACTTTCCTATCTCTGGGAAAGTGAGAAAATGACATGGATGAATGGAAGTGAAAGATATCTATAAAAGGCTGTAATTTTATGGTTCTCATTTCTTTTCCCTTCTTGTCATATTACTAACCTCATAGGTTAGTGGAGGAGTAAACCAACCAGTTGCTGTGGAGTCCATTCTGACTCACGGCAACTTCATGGGTGTCACAGCAGAACTGTGCTCCACAGGGTTTTTAATAGCTGATTTTTGGGAAGTAGCTCACCAGGTCTTTCTTCTGAGGTGCCTCTGGGGGGACTCAAACCTCTAACCTTTTGGTTAGCAGCCAAGTTGAGTATGTTACTGTTTGCAGCACCCAGGGACGCCAGGAGGAGCAAAGAAATGAGATAAGGTAAAAGTACCAGGCCTGTGTGGACTCCATCCTGGGCACCTTGATAACTGGTTGTTCCCTCCCACTCTCCACTATGGAACTCAGGCTGCAGAGAGTGGGCAGCCCTTTAGGGACCTGAAGATGCAGTTGTGCAGATTTGAGGGGGTGGGCAGTGTCTGGTCTTAGAGAACTGGCCAGGCCGGGCTGTACCCATGTGGGAGGCATCGTAAAGGCTGCTGTCTGTTCTGGTCTTGGTGGATCCCAGGAGATACCACGCAGCAATCGGGGTCAAGTTGGCTCTCTGGCCAAACTTGCCTCTTTCCCTGTCTCCTGACTTCTTCTCTCCCAGTGCCTTCTGCCTGCTGGCCAAGGTGGCAGCCCTGCTCCCCGCTCCCCCTTCAGCCATTTCCATTAGCCTTGGCCCACATCTCCCAGCTTAACAGGAGAATCACTGTGCAACTGTCATGTTCCAGAGTCGTAGAATGTAGGGGCTCTAGGGGAACAAAGGCACTTAAGTGGACAGATCTCTAGCCTGCGGCACTTGATCTGAGAACAGATATACATGCACATGTGTACTTAAAACATACACACACACACGCACCAATTTCGTGTCTACACACAAACTACGTGTGAGTATAAACATACTACACAGATATAGTCAAGTACTCACATGTATAAATACATGCAAGATGACAATAAATAACATTAATTTAAAAACAACGGTAATAGTCAATAATTATTCAGCATCTACCATGTGTCAGGCACTTTATTAAGTAATTTAATAAGTTATCCCATTTAATTGAATTAGGTACAGTTATGATGTGTATCTTATCATAGGAGGCCCAGAAAATTTAACTCACCAAAGGTAAACATCTAGCAAGTGTCAGACAAGACTCAAATCCAAATCTATGTGAAAGCGAAACTCATTCTCCAAGCCTAGTATGTAATATATGTTCAATGAATTCTCTTCTTTGTCTCCCTTCATAATCCCTTGTTTAAGTTCTGTCCAAGGCCCAGCCCTTATCCAGCTCCTTCAGAAGCTTGGCTGGAGGAACACACTCCACAAGAACCTTGCTCTCTCCACACTCTAAAAGGACTTGGGTTGCCTGTCCGTTAGATCACTTCTTATAGCTTTACTCAGTGTGGTGTTGTTGTCATTAGCTGCCATTGAGTTGATTCTGACTCACGGCGACTCCACGCGTGCAGAGCAAAACTGCTCTATAGGGTTTTCAAGGCTGTGATCTTTCAGAAGCAGATAGTCGGGCCTTTCTTCTGAATTGCCTCTGGGTGGGTTTGAACTGCCAACCTTTTGGCTAATAGTTGAGTACTCAATGTATACTCAATATATACGTTATTTATTTGCTCTATGAATGTTTATTAAGCGCCTGCAATGTGCCAGGTATGTCAGAGATTGCTAACTCTCACCCAGTATTTGTCCTCCCCTTCTTCTTAGTAATATAATCTCTGAATTTTAGCTGGTCATGGTTGTCCAGAATTAAAAAAAAATATTTTCAGCCTACCTGGCAGCTAGATAGAGCCATCTGAATGAGCTCTGGCCAATGGAACGTGTGGAAGCCGTGTGAGCAACTTCTGAGTGGCATCCTTAAAGGTAAAGCTGTGCCCTTCATTTCCTCCTTTACCTCCTTCTTGATGGCTGGAATGGGGACTTGATGATGGCAACCAGATCATCACATGGAGATGCCTGTTGAGGACAGCAGAGCATCAAGCCAGAAGGAACTCGTTCCCTGGTGATTGTGTAGCTGCTACACTGAACTGCTTGCTTAAACTTTTACATGAGAAAGAAATCAATGTCAGTATTTTAAAATCATTTTTGTTTGGGAGAATATCTGTTAAAACAGCTGAACTAATATCCTAATTAATATGCCAGGGGATGTTACGGGCACTGGAATTGCAGCCAATTTTCTTGGGTTCATGGATTTGACATTCTAATGGGAGAGACAGTGATTAAACACGGAAAATAATTTTTAAAAGCACAGAGAAACCTATAAAGGTCATAGAACAAGTTACTATGATAGAGTGACAGAGATTGGAGTACCATTATCTAGGGTGACCAGGGAAAGCCTCTCCAAGGAGGTGACATTTGAGATGAGATGGAACAGTGAGGAGGAACCAGCCACGGGGATCCGAAGGCAGAGCTTCACGGGGAGCACAGATGACAAGGGCGAAGCCCTGAAGTGGGAGCGAGATTGGGAAGTTCAAGGTTCAGAAAGACATACACGGGAATTCTTCTGTTTCAAAGCTGAGAATAAGTGTTTTCAAAATTACAATTGTTTTAAAAAAATGCCCGCCTTCAGCATTATACCCTTTAAGGACTATCTTTACGGGATCAAAGTGAAAACAGCAGCTTGAAAGGTTGGATAGGAATCTTAGGGGGCGGTGAGTTTATGTTAATGGAGGAGGAACAACTTAGAAAAGGAGGATGAAAATGGTTGCACAACTCAAAGAAGGTAATCAATGTCACTGAATTGCACACATATAAACAGTTGAATTGATGTATGTTTTGCTGTGTATATTCTCAACAACAACAAAATAAAATAAAAAAAGTTTCTTGATATGTATTTATATATTGACTAATGAATTCCTTTGTAGGTGTCTAAGGGTCTTCAATTTGCCTGTCTCCAGGAGGGAAAGGAGCCCTGGTGGCACAGTGGTTAAGCGCTTGGCTGCTAACTGAAAGGTCTGCGGTTCGAACCCACCAGTCACTCCATGGGAGAAAGATGTGGCAGTCTGCTTCCGTAAAGATTTACAGCCTTGGAAACCATATGGGACAGTTCTGCTCTGTCCTATAGGGTCCCCATGAGTCAGAGTTGACTTGATGGCAACAGGTTTGCTTTTTTACCAAGAAAAGCCACTTCTAGCACGGGTATTGGCCTGTTTCCCACACTCCCATCCTGTGCTTTCCTGAGACATCTGCTACACACTGTCTTTTGGCCTGGCTGACCTCATATAAGTCCCTGCCTGCTATAATTCACTGCCCACGGCCTGGCCAATAAAAGCAAGGCTCATTCCTGCTGCCGAGAACTCCATCCCCATCCCCTGCAGCACAGCCAGCTCCTTCTCCAGGGACCTGCCTGCCATGAAGATTCTTTTTCTGTTTCTTGCCATCCTTCTGGCTATGGAACCAGTGGTGTCAGGTAACTTGGGCCTCTCTCAGGTGGCTGGGATCCTGGTCATGGGCTTTTCTCCTTCCCTCCTCCCACACTGTGGACAGCATCTGAAGCCTTTCCTCATTTCATGCGGCTCTGAGAGGTTTTCTCAGGACCTTCTTATATCAACATCTCTTCCTGATTCTTTTCCACCAAGCTGGTGGAATAATAGATGCTTTGGACATTTGGACGAAGGGGCAGGAATGGTAGCCAGGTGGGAGCTTGGCAGAGGCCTTAGGAGTGAAGGATGGGGTGCAGGTTGGGGCCTTTTTGGGGGCTTTGGAAGGTTAGATTGGAGGCTGGGGGTGAATTGTGATGGGAGAGAAAGACCTTGGGGTTAAAGTGATAGAGGGAAGATGGATTAGGATGAGTTGGAGAAGGGGTTGGGCTTTCCTGGCGGTTTGGTGTGGGCTGGACGGGGGAGGGATTGGAGGTTAAGTGGAGCAGGGGTTGGGGATTAGGCCGGGGCTTGGGTTGAGGCTGGGAGTTGGCACTGCATGGTACAGGTGTTTGGAGTTCAGCTTGGGGATGGGCTATGGCTGGGAATCGCGGCTTGCAATTTGATTAGATTTGGGTTTGACTTGGAGCTGGTCTCGGGGGATTGAGATGAGTAAGGCTAGGAGTTATAATTAAGATTTGGGGCTTGAATTAGGTGAATATGGGATCAAGGAAGATTTAAGATTAGGTTGTGGCTGGAGCTGGGGCTTGTTGGGCTTAAGTTAGATAGGGCCGGGCTATTGATAAAGATCTGGGTCTGCTGGAATGTGACTGAATCCTCCCCCACCCTGCCAGGTCCCCTATATTATAGGTGTTCATTAACCTTTCCCGTCATCCCCAAGCTTCATTAGGTGGGAACTGCATTGGCATCAATTGATCCCAAAGTTAGGAGTAGGGGGTTGGGGGAAAGGAAGACAGAAGGGTGGGATGTCTGAAAAAGGCTCTCCTGAAAACCTTGGAATCCCAGCTGGAACAATTGTCTTAATTCTCTCCCCTCTCAAGGTCTCTTGTCTCCTTTCCTGGAACTGGTTCCAGCATTTCTTACTCAACCCACTGCCTCTCCTTCTCCCCTGCCCTCCTGCTCCTCATGTACCTCTTCTTACCTCTCCACTTGAGGGATACTAACATCTGCTTAATGGTTGTTCCTATACTCAAAAGAGAGCTGTTGGATGGAAGGACACTGCAGACTGGTGTGCAAAAATGACGAAGACAGCATCTCACGCTGCCCAAGTCGTAAACGGTGCTGTGTCCCTAGTCGTTACTTAACAATCGAACCAGTGATAATTGATGATGAACTGACCACCAGGACCACTACTCAGAAGCCCAAAAAAGGCAAAAATAGGAATAAAAAGAAAAATAATCGTGGATAGAAATGATTTTGCTTCAGGTTTCATAGTTCCTACATTCCATTAAAATTTGCAAATCTGTTTCCTGTGTCTGTCAGTCATGAGGAATGATACCCCAAATGGAATGGGGGTTGGGGGATGGCAGGGTGAAGTTTAAGAGGTAGCAGAGGGAAGTCACCAGGGCTGAGTCACAGCAATGGGGTAATGACTACAGCCTTGAAGATAGTTCCTCCTCTACCAGCCCAAGGGCCCCAGAAGAGGCTATTGGTTCATAGGTGAACTAAGGACAGCATGTGGGAAGCTGAGAGATTTAAAGGCACAGCACATGCCTGAAGTGTTGGAGAACCCTTGGGCTGGGAGAGTTGACCCATATCGGGGGTGAATGGCTGGGGTTGGACAGGGGCTGAGTAAAGCCCAAATCCCTGGGTGTCTAGGGAAGTCAACCAAGATGCATTCTGATGCCCCAAGGATCAGAATTTTCCAAGTATCAAAGAAGACAGACCACATACACTTACTCTTTAATATATTAATTTATTTTTTACATTCTTTCATGGGTTCATTTACTCATTCCTTCACCTTAGCTCTGCCACTACCATAGTCAGACTCTATACAAATAAACCTCTAAGAACTTCAGCTTCCGTACCTGTAAAATTGGAATAATAATAGAATCTATCTCAGGATTACGGTAAGAATGAAATGAGAGAATGCAGATCACAGTGCCCAGAACGTAGCAAGCCCTCAATAAATGTTAGCTGCTGAGACCGTTCACTGATTTATTCACGAGTTTATGAAATATGGGCTGTGTGCCTTCCAATGTGTTAGACTCAGAGGGAGAGAGAAGCCTGTCTCATTTGAATTGACAATTTAGCCTGGGAGAAGACTAACCCATGGGGACATTTAGAATCCAGATATGGAACTTAGATGCCCTGAGTGTCTTCCCCTGGGTGACACAAGCGCTTTGTGCTCAACTACTACCGTGCATGCACGCCTAGGCAAAAGTGCCAAGGGGCAGCTGTTTGCAGGGGCTGTGGGCAGAGCTTGGATATTCAGTTGGAGTGTCCACCTCTGTGCGTGTAAGGCTCCTCACAGTGTGGGACAGAGCTGAGGACGGGCCTTCGTGAAGGATGATGGGCTGCAGATTGGGCCAGCTCTCCTTGTGCTGCCATATTCCTGCGTGGAACTCTGAGGAATCCAAGAATTCTACATTCAAACCTGATGTTTTATGTAATTATGAAGGAATATTTTGTAATGAGTGATAGAATATATTTTATTTATCCCTTTTGTTAGCTTGATTTATGACTTTAAAATATTCATACACGGTAGTGGGCTTCCATTTGTATTCTTGCCCTGGGGGTGTGCCTGGAATTTGGATCCTTCTCTGGCAAAAAATCCATTTCCAAGGCCACTCCTGAGGCAGGAGCTGCATAAACTGTGCTTTACAGTCTTGATGCCTCTTTTGTGAGCTGCTTGTGCCCTGAAGCCTGGGTGAAACCATCCAGAATACTTCCTCCCTGGCCTCTCTGCCTCCAGGTTTTCTCTGCTTTAGTCTCTACTTTCAGAGGGACTCTTCCCAGGAGATTCATTTGACCATGTTGCATTCCTGCTTATATACCTCCTTTGGCTCCTCATTTTCCAGGGTTCTGGGCATTCAAGGTCCTCACAAGATGGCCCAGCTTCATCTCCCATGACTGCCCCTCACAGACCTTCAGTTCAGCCATACCAGTCCTCTCACTGTCCTCTCTTACCCATAACATTGCCTTTGTTCATGGTTCCTATTCACCTTGTCCCCATCACTAGGCTCATCTCCGTGATGAACTCCTTCTCATCCTTCAAAGCCCAGTTGATGCCACTACCCACGACAGCTTTCATATAAACTCTGTCCCACTATTTCTTAATAATTGCAATAATAATAGCTCTAGTAATAGTTCTCATTGACAGAGCACTTGCCATGTGTCAGGCACTGTGCTTGGTGCTTCTAGGCACAAAATCATTCCATTCTTATAACAAGTCTCTTATTATTCCAATTTTACTGATGAGGAAACAGGTTCAGAGAGGCAATATAATTAGCCAAGGTCACAGGGCATTAAGATAGAGCAGAGATTCAAACTGAGTTCTGACTGGCATCACAAACTATCACTCTTAAGAAATTCTGGCACCTAAGAGCTTGGCTGCTAACCAAAAGGCTAGCAGTTCGAATCCACCAGCCACTCCTTGGAAACCCTGTGGGGCAGTTCTACTCTGTCCTATAGGTCGCTATGAGTCGGAATCAGCTCGATGGCAGTGAGTTTTTGGTTTTGGTATCATGTTATAGTGTAATTATTTGAGCCATTGAACCCTCCTCACCAACTCCCCAAACAGACAAATATTAGATGGAAATCCTTAGGGGTGGAGACTGTGACTTATTTACATCTCTATGCCTAGTGCTTGGAATGAATTCCATATAGTGTTTATTGACTGAATGACTAGTTGAGTGATGAATTCACGTGTAAAAGCATGAGTGGATTTGGTGGGGGACATGAGTGGCTGTGTGGATAGGCCGATATCAGATTCCAGGAATTGGGAGTGGGATGCCTTCTGGGATAGAGGGATCAGAGGACCAATGTATCAGACATGCTGGCTCTGATTAATGGTGGCAGAAGGAGCCCTGGTGGCACAATGGTTAAGCACTGGACTACTAACCAAAAGGTCAGCAATTTGAACCCCCCAGCAGCTCTGAGGGAGGAAAGACCTGGCAATCTGCTCCCACAAAGATTATAGCCTAGGAAACCCTATGGGCCAGTTCTACTCTGTCTTATGGTGTTGCTATGAGTTGAAATCAACTCAATGGCACCTAACAACAACAACACATGGTGTCAGAGAGGATGCAGAGCAGCTAGTGGGCCTTCCTCAAGTTGGTTCTTATTATTCACCTGTTAGTTGCCCTTAGAACACACAGGTTTCACACTGTGGGAGGTGGGCTGGGGAGAGTCTTAAGGATCTCACCCCCCAATGCCTGGGGCCTGGCATCAACCTTTCCGCATACAGTTACTCATGTTTCCATAAAATTAATTTATTTGCATATTAATTTATCATCCATGAGTTATTATCTATTTGTTCAGTAAGCAACATTTATTAACACCCTCCTCTGTTCTTAACACCGCACGAACAGAGACAACGGTAGGTGTGGGGGGATGTTGACTGAATGCTGGAATGAAGACAGACTGTAGCACCCACCGTTGAGCCACAGGAAGTTTTTAGAAGACGTTTACCCTGGCCTTTCCCCAGATTACTGTGCTGGGATTTCCAGAGGTAGAATGTGCCCATTTGTCATGTTGAAAATTCCATTAGATTATTCCTTGGAGAGATAAGGCCCAACCCCTCACCCGATTCCCCTGCCACACTTCCTTTATTCCTGACAGTCCTTCAACTGTGAGAATATCTGACCCAGGCAACCTTGCCCCATCTACTCATTTCACAGATGGGGAAACTGAGACCCAAGGAGCAAAAGTGATTTAAGATCACACAGTAGGTTTGAGGCAACGCTGGGATTAACAAGCACGTCTTTTTTGACTTCTGGTGAGAGGGCTGAGGGAATATGGAAGGTAACAATAAGTAGATATGGATGATACAGTGTGTGGTGGTGCAGAGCAACATGGGCAGACAGCTGGGTGGGTGTGAGGAGCTGCAAAGCCCCTGACAAAAGCTTTGGACACCCTTGAAGCCCCTATCGGGGTCGGCCATAGCCTCTCTCCAGGGGGAGTTGTAAAACCACTGTGACCCCAAAGCTGGGAAAACTGGGCACCTTTCCTGGGATTGACAAGCAGGCCTGCTGATGTAGCTGAAACTCAATTCAGCCTCAGCTCTGTACACCAATACCCAGGATCTCAGGTACATCTGATTCTGACGTATTCATTTTCTATTCTTATCCACACTCCTGAAGGGTGAAAACACTTCCTCCTTACCTCTCCTCAACCTTGCTTAGGGAAGATATAGTCTCTGTTAAAAAAAAGAATAGAAAAGAAGAATAAGTAGGCTCCTTTATTCAATGCAGGGACTTTTATCATGGTGCGTGTGTGGATGCACATTAGACTTTGCATTGAGCCCATTTGGACATAGGGGATCCTTATGTGACTAGCGCCAAGTTCAAGGCCCGGCAAAGGTTGGGTGATGATAACCACTTGTAGGATGAGTGAGAGGCTCTTGAACGCCAGGTTCAGAAGTCTGGGCTTAACACTGCAGAAAATAGAAGGCCATGGGTCTAGTTGTTATCCAGGGAGCTGCTAACCTCTCCCAGCCAAGGCCTATCATGTAGAGAAGCCGCACGGCCCATTAGAAAGATAAGGGCTTGGAGTCATACTGAGTGGAGTCTGAGTCCTAGCTCTGCCTCTTTTAGTTTGCCAAAACACTGCTTCTCTCTGAGCCTCAGTTTCCCAATGCAAGAAAAAGGAAATAAAGGTTATCTACTTCAAAAGATTGTATTAAAGATTAAATGAGTTGACATATATCAAGTGACTCATAGTGGGTGTTTAACAAGTGTCCCTTTAACCACTAACATTTATAATCTAATTGTCTTAAATAATTCTTCTACATAAGTTGAAAACCACATTAGAAGTTATTTTAATTTTTGCTTGAAACTTCAAACAGAATTTAAAAAACTTAAGAGGAGAAGGAAAGTATATTGTATTTATTAGGTTTTTACTTTTTCTGTTGGTCTTCTTTACCTCCTGATGTTCCAAGATTCCTTCTTTCATCATTTCCTCTCTGTTTTGAGAATTTCCATTAGCCATTCTTTTCGGGTAGGTCAGCCAGTGACAAATGCTCTGAATTTTCCTTCGTCTGAGAATGTCTTGATTTCCTCTTCATCGCCAAAGGACATTTTCGCTGGATATAGAATTCTGGGTGGACTGTTCTTTTCTTTCTGTCACCATCCATTTGGGAAGGTAGATGGGTGTCTTATTCTACCAGGTGGGGGAGCTGGTCTCTCCACATGATCTCTATTGACTTTGCAGGATGGTGGGGGGCTTGTTACCACCCAGCGAGAATAAATGCCCCAGCTCCCACGTGGGCTTCTCTGATACCACCTTGAGAGATGAGGAGGGACTGTGGTACCTCATTACAGCCTAGACAGGGCAGAAGTCTAGGCCCTCTACTTAGCCTTTGCTGGTGAGGGTATAGGAGGAGACTGAATTTTTTACTGTGGTGTTTGGCTGGAGCAGAGTGATAATTGCCTAAAACCTTCTGTCTTGCTAGGCTGCCCTTTCTTTGGTACTCTGGCTAGGGACAGCAGACTTTTCTTGGAATTTTTAATGTCTGCATCCATTTGTGTTTTTATTTCTGCATCCATCCATCCAAGGTTGCCGGCTTTTCCAGCACCAGTCTGGGATATATGAGGCAAAAAGAAAACCAGGGAACTCACAGCTGTGCCATTCCTCAGTCCTGAGACCTGTGGCCAATTTACCTTCTTCTCTTCACCTTTTCAGAGTCTTCTTATATTTGTTTTATCTATAAAGCTCAGGGTTTTAAACTGTACTTATCAGGACAAATAGAAGAAAGTATACCTACTCCTTTTTTCTGGAAGCAGAAGTTGCCATCAAATCCTTTAGGATTTTCCTAGGTTCCCTGACTCTTATTATCAGATCTATACTGCTGCTGAGTGGAGACTAACTATTTGTATTTTTTTGACCAGGCAGACGTTACCCCCTTCCATGCATGGGTAACAAGGGAGTCTGCAGAGCCTCTTGCAAAAAGGATGAACAGCCCTATCTCTATTGCAAAAATTATCAACCATGCTGCCTCCAGCCCTACATGAGGATAAGCCTGGTTGGCGGAGAGGAAAATAGCGACTGGGCCCGAGGGAACCGCTGGCCCTAAACAGCTTGAGTGCTGTTGATCACCATCCTCAACCCCTCTGGGAGCTCAGACCTGCTATCAATCCCCCTCATTAAAATTCATGCACTTTCCACCCTTGTCTGTCTTTCATTCACTGGGAATCATGGGGAGAGGAGATTGAGTTTTTCATGGAGAGATAGCTGTTCCATTCTAGATGTAACTCTGAGAGAGAAGGCTGGAAAAGTGGAGTGACAATTGCAGTGAGTCTAGACAAGCCAGTGAAGATGAGGAGAGTATGGACCTGAGTCCAATGAGGGGGAGTTGAAGGGTTTGGGCAGGCATGTGACGTTGTGCCGTGTAGCACTCAGAGGGAGATCAGAACCAGTGAGTTGGATGCACCGAGTAGTGGGTAGAGGTCTTGTAGAAAAATTTGGCTTCGTTCATGAAAGAACTTCATAACCAATTGTGCTGTTGCAAAGTGAAATAAGCTGCCCTATCAACGTTTCAGGTTGTGAGGCTGCAGGTCTGTTTGGTGGTCACTGCAAAATGAATTTGAATGTTGGATGCTGCTGGTCTTCATGATCTTTAAGACCCTTTGTTGTTGTTGTTGTTAGGTGCCATCAAGTTGGCTCTGACTTACAGCAATCCTATGTAGAACTGGTCTTTGTATAATAAGGTCCTTTAACTCCTGATAATCCAGGAGTTTTGTGCCCCAATTATAAGCAACACTATCTTTTAAGTGTAAAATTGTCACTTTACTTTTTATGCCTCACCCACACTAATAGCTAATTTCTCTATCCATTTTTAGTTGCAAATTTTGTTAAAAGGAGAGTAGACACACTTGGCAATTATATTTCTTTACTTCTCTGTCTCTCCTCAACTTGTTATAATTTGCTTTTGTGCTTTTCATTCTATTGAACTGGCTCTGGCCAAGATTACCAGTGCGCCTCCTTTTTTAAAGTCTCATGGTTGTTGCTCAGCTTTTATCTCCCTCTGCTTCTTGGTAGTATTTCCATCATAGTTCATTCCCTCCTTGAAAGTCTTAACTTCCTTGGCTTCTGTGACTTTGTTCTTTCTTTGCTTTCCTCCTAACTCCTTCTGCATCTTCTGGGGTTTCTCTTCTGTCATTTGCATCATTGCATTCTTTTGAGTTTCTCTTTTCTTTTGAGACTAAAGATTCTCCACGTTCCTAGGAAAAAGCTGACAATTCTGTAGCCATGATAACAAGTAAATACATATTCCCTCTCCCTTGCCAAGTGTTTTCAAGGAAAATTGCCTGGTCTTGAACTTTAGTATTAAGTGTAGAGAGAGAGGAAAAAAAAAAAATCACTGCTGAGAATCTGCAGCCTCTAACTGGTTCTCAGATAACCTTGTACTCTGAATTCACAGTACCTGAGTGGTCTGAAAAAAGTCAGACTGATAATTTAGTTTAAACTTATCCCAGACTAATAGTGCCAAAGACATCTGACAGAATCTAATGAAGGATTAACTGTGATAAATTTCCAAGAAAAATGAACAGATGAAAGTCCCAAATCACAAAACACGGAAAGGAATAAGGCACCATTAACTAAGGCCAACAGAAACCACATACCAGAAATTCAGACCTTCAAAGACTTCAAATATGAGACTTATCAACAAAAATGTCCCATCACAAATTAGGTATTATCTAATCCCCTGAATAATAAAATTGACCCTTTGAAGAAGTGTTCCAATGTTCAATGGAAATGGTATGTTCAAAACTGTGGACTAAGAAGGTCTGGATAGCATAAATAAACTGTAAGAGTAGGTGGCTCAGATGTCTATGGTACCCATTCCTCTCCTTTACTGACTCTCCTTCATCACACATTAATGGTGTCATGAGGAATTCCTATGGTTACTTAATAAAGGAGGAAAAAACAAGGCCAGGTTTGTAGAGTGGTCTGTAGGATATGCTAGCACCAGTGAGAAGCTGACTGTTGCTGCATTATAGCCTGATTTAGAGGTGGCCCTGAAAGACAGTGATGAAGGGAAATCCTTCCAATGGAAGGAGGAATGGCCTAAGGTATGGATCTATAGTAACTCATGGGCAGTGGTAATGTGTTGTCTGGTTGGTCAGGGACTAGGAAAGAGCAAGATTAAAGATTTGTTACAATGAGGTCTATGGTAGTTATGTGGGTAGACTTCTCTGAAAGGGGAAAGGGTATGAAGATATTTTTATTCCATTGGGGGACACAAATAAAGCTCTCAGTAATCAGGTGGACAAAATCAGCCTTCCTTTTACCCACAATTGAGGGGCAGCCCCTACCCTTAGATGTCCACGTGTGATCAAGGCTTGGTCCAGGACATGATAGGTCCATGGAGCTAGCCTTTCAACTGGCTGCTATTCTAACCTTGAAGCACCTGGGGCAAGAAGAAGTCTTCATAGCTCACATCTTGGCCAGCAAATTTCCAAGAGTGAGAGATAAGATAGGGCTTCAGGGCCAAAATTAGTATTAAAATGAGTGCTTTTGCCTGAAGTGTCTGCTGTTCTATAAAGAAAGCTTTTAGTGTCTGTTATGAATTGAATTGTGTCCCCCCAAAAGAAATGTAGAAGTCTTAACCCCTGTACCTGTAAAGATAACCTTCTTTGGAAATGGGCTTTTTATTATGTTAATGAGGTCATACCAGAGTAGGATGGTTCCTAAACCTAATCACTTTAGAGGAGCGTCTTATAAAAAGAGCAGCATAGACACTGACACCTACACACAGGGGTAAGAGACTATGCAAGAATCCATCTACAAGCCAAGGAATACCAAGAAACACCAAGGAAAGCCCAGGGATACAAATGTGGAAAGAGATAAGGATCTTCTAGAGCCAACAGAGTGAGAGCCTAGCCCTACTGACACCCTGAATTCAGAATTCTAGCTTCTAGAACTTCAGGAAATAAATTCCTATTCTTTAAAGCCACCCACTTGTGGTATTTTTTTGTTACGGCAGCACTAGGTGACTAAGACAGTGCCCTACTAGCTTGCTCTCATTAATTCAAGGATTTAGAGTTCTTATTTTGATCACTTATGCTGCCATAAAGAGGCAAGACTACACAGAAACACCTCTGGTATTCCAAAACTCTCATAGAGAAGACTGAAGGACACGTGCGAAGAATAATGTTGAAATACTTAACCAAGTTAATAAGATTGTGCATAGGTCACCAGCAAACAAACCCGAAAAACCCGTTGCCGCCGAGTAGTTGCTGGCTCATAGTGACCCTATAGGACAGAGTAGAATTGCCCCATAGAGTTTCCAGCGAGTGCCTGGTGGATTTGAACTGCGACCTTTTGGTTAGCAGCTGTAGCTCTTAACCACTACACCACCAGGGTTTCCCCCAGCAAACAAGGGACACTAAAAATGGGTTAAAACTTGTCATGAAATAATCTGACATTTCAAGAAAAGCACTGAAGAGTTCCTCATTGGAAATAGTGGGAAAAGTCTGGACTTCTGTGTACAGCTGTCTTTATTAAGAATTATACATTGGTGGGAGTTACGGATGGGTCACCATGATATTTTCAGTGCTTTGTGAATCTATAGGACTTAGTTCAGCACTCTGAGGACAGGAATGAGTGACATCAGAAAGGAATTCATGTGGTTTGATGGACCTGTGGGAGAGAGCTTCGAGTTCCCAGTTCAAGGTCAGAAGTCATCATCATTTCCAGTCTTGGCGTTTACTTCAAAGTAGATTGAGTGGGGCGTTATCGTTTTATCCACAACCACAATTTTTGTTGCCTTAAAATAGGGTGTGGAAGTTGGTGTTGTCTGAAGAACTGGATTTTGTGGTCTGGAGTCTTGCTTGCTGGGAACGCAGCAGACTGCACGGTGTTTACAATTGCCTGCCTTCATTTCACCATAGTTGCAGCGTTTCTTGCAGCGCCCGCCTTTGTTCAAGCATTTTTTTCGGCCACGATAGTCTGAATAATAAAAGGAAAGACCACTGATTTTAGATTATGATGCTCTCAATTACACTAGCTTGACTGAACATTTGGCATCTCATAACAACACTGCGGGTCATAATTAAACTATGGCGGCAAGACCCCCAGCCCAGACCTGGGAAATACCAGGTTTCTAAAATACCTATTCCTGGCCTCCCACCTGCCCATTTTTCACTTTTCTGAAAGTGGGATGAATCTTATCATCCACGTGAAAAGGAGCTTTCCAGTCACGAGGAATTGGATCTAGTTATAGTGACACTAAGGGAGCCCTGGTGGTGCAAACGTCAAGCGCTCAGCTGCTAACCGAAAAGTCAATGGTTTCAGCCCACCAGCCACTCCGGGGAGAAAGAAGTGGCAGTCTGCTTCCTTAAAGATCTACAGCCTTGGAAATCCTAGGGTGGCAGTTCTACTTTGTCCTATAGGGCTGCTATGAGTCAGAACTGACTTGAAGGCAATGGGTTTAGGTTTTATAATGAAGCTGCCTGGGCCCCTGTGAAGCTATCTGCATGAAGAAAGTTCATCTAGTTGTCACCGTGATTATTTGCATTGGCCATAGCTCATGCGGTTAAATTTCTTTGAATACATTCTATTGCAAAATGTACATTCAAATGACTATATGTATTTGTGTAGTTTAAAGAATAATAATAAAATTAATACCCATGTACCCCTACCCGGATTTAAAAAAAAAAAGATCATTACTAGAAGCTTAGGATAGTGTATAGTCCCTGGGTGGTGCAAATGATTAAGTACTTGGCTACTAACCTAAAGGCTGGTGGTTCGAACCCACCCAGAGACACCTTGGAAGAAAGGCCCATCGATCTGCTTCTGAAAGTTCACAGCCTTGAAAACCCTATAGAGCACAGTTTGCGCACATGGGGTAGCCATGAGTCAGAGTTGACTCGACGGCAGCTGGTAACATCATGTAAGGATAGTGTACGTATTCGTTTGTGATACCTACACGCTCATGTATTAGGCCAGTGCTGCTTAAATCTTAATGTGCGTACAAATTATGTAGAAGTCTTGTTAAAATGCAGATTCAGATTGAGCCAGTGGGATAGGGCTTGAGTTTCTGTTTCTCTAACAAACTCCCAGTGATGCCAATACTGCCAGTCTGTGGACTACACTCTATGTTGCAAGGTATCAGGCCATAAAAAAACCTCAATAGACTCCAGATGCTCAATATCGTACATTCTACATTGTACATATCATAAAAATCCCACTATCCCAGTGAGATTTTTGGGAGACTTGATTATCTCTCTTTAAAATTTAGCTTTCCAACCAAATGCAATTAGAATAAAAAATTCCATATATTTGAAAATTTAATAATATGGTAAAAACAAGTCTTAGATTTAAAAAAATTGTAACAAAACCAGAAATAATGAAGTCATAAGTAACAAAATCAGAAGACTTCTGGAAAGACTGATTAAGAAAAAAAGAGGAAAACAATAAAAATAAAATCCTCAGTGAAATGATAAAATAAAAACAGACAGCATATTAAAAATAACAGATGAGAATGTGAACAGCTATACACTAATAAAATTGAAAACTTAGACGAAATGGGCAAATTTCTAAAAACATTCCAAGATGGTGTAGGAAGGAAATACCAACTTGAATAAATCAACAAGCCTGAAGAATTGAAATAGTTGTGAAAGATCTCTCCTTCTCAAAGTCTTAGCTCTAGGTGATTTTAAAGGTGCATTCTGTCTAATTTCAAACAAGCTATAAGTACTATCTTATATAAAATGTTCCAGAAAATAGAAAAGAAAAAAAAAAAGGGTATTTGCCTGGCTCGTTTTATGAGGGTAGTGTAATCTTAATTCTAAAACCAGAAAGTTATAGGTCCATTTTCTTTATAAATACAAATGCAAAAATAAATACCCTAAATACAGTATTGGTCAACTGAATTAAACAGTGTATTAAAATACATGATGATCAAATAAGCTTTAACCCAAATACAAAAAAAAAAAAAAAAATCATCCAACATTAGAAAATCTATGAATAAATTCATTACCTTTATAGAATTAAGGAGATAAATAATAGGATCATCTTATTTGATGCAGAAAAAGGATTTAATAATGTACAGTACTTATTTGAAATGAAAAATCTAGGTAAAGTAGGAATAGAAGGGAATTTCTTTGATATGATAAAGGTTAGGTAGCAAATTCTAGAGCTAGCATTATCTAATAGAGAAACTGTAATTCTCACTGAGATCAGGAAAACAACGGTGTTCTCTATTATTGATATTGTTTAAAATAAAAGTGGAGGGTCTTCCCAATGCTAAAAAGCAAATAAAAGGAAAACACAAAGAGTATAAGGATTAGACAGAAAGAGATAAAAATGTCATTCATTCTGGCAGTCATACTCACAATACCAAATAAAAATAAAAAAACCAACAAACGGTTAGAATTAATAAGAGAGTTCAGTAGTTATGTTAGATGGAATATCAATTTACAAGAATCAACAGCACCTCTTTATGCCAACAAGAAAATATGATAAAATAAATAACATAGCTACAAATCATCTTGTTTGAAACTAACAACACCTAAGACTTCTATTTGGTATATTTTAAAACTCTAAAAGAGGATGTGCTCTTTCATGGGATGACTCAATTATTATAAAGATTCACTTCCTATAAATTAATTGGTAAATTTAGTGCAATCCCAACCAAAACCCCAGTGGGATTTTTTGGGAGACTTGATTATCTAACTTTAAAATTTATAATGAGGAATAAAAGCCACCAGTAGCTAAGATTACTTAAAAAAAAAAAAAAGGACACAAGTCTGCCCTATACTAACATATTATAAAGTGATGGTAATCCAAAAAATATGGTATTGTCCCAAGAACAGAACACAGAGCTTGGAAATAGACCCATGCTTAAATAGGGGAATTTAGTATGCATTAACAAAGACAACATGAGTCAATGGAAAAAGCATGGATTAATTAGCATATAGTGGCGGGAAAACTGCCTCACTCTACGAGAAAAATAAAAGTGATCTACACCTTCATCTGGTGACTTAAAAAAACTAAATATGGAAGGCAAAACTAAAGAGTTACTAGAAGATAATGTCTCTTTGGGACAAAAGAATGGGGAAGAACTCCCTTAACAAAACCACCAACACAACCTACAAGGCAAAAAATCGTTCAACTTGATTTGAACAGAATTAAGTGTTTCTGTTTAATAAAAGACATATTATGGGCAAAGTTCACATACAGGCCTTAAGTCTATAAAGACGGTGAATTTATTGGTAGATTTTCTAATGTTGGATAAAATTTTACATTTGCGTTAAACCCTACGCGATCATCATGTATTTTAATACACATTGAGTTCAGTTGGCCAATACTTTATTTCTTTAGGGTACTTTTGGAGCCCTGATGGTACAGTGGCTAAAGCACTCGGCTGCTAACTGAAAGGTCAGCAGTTCGAAACCACCAGTGGCTCCACAGAAGAAAGAGGTGGCAGTCTGCTTCTGTAAAATTTACAGTCTTGGAAACCCTTTGGGACAGTTCTGCTCTGTCCTGTAGGGTCACTATGAGTCAGAATCAACTCGATGGCAGTGGGTTTTGCATCTGTGTTTATAAAGAAAATGGACCTATAACTTTCTGGTTTTAGAATCAAGATTACACTTACGTCATAAAATGAGCCAGAAGACATAGACACTGGGGGATATATACCAATGACAAAAGCTGACAAGGTAATAAGATTGACACTAAAGAACACCTGCATATCAGCCTCGCAGTAGAACACTGGCTAAAGGATATAAATAAGCAATTAACAGAAGAGGAAAGTCACTCATTTACCCATTCAACAAATGTTTGTTGAGTGCCTACTAAGTACCAGGCACTGTTTAAGACGTGAGATGATACATCCATTAACGACATAGACCAAACTTCTTGTCCCGAATTACTTTATACCCATCAGACTGGTAAAAATAATGCTGAGTATCGGAGGGATCATGCTGATAGAAAAATCTTCACGCACTGCTGTTGAGGGAGTATGGAGATCTTCCCATCCCTATAAACGTCACTGATTTTTATTCCTCTTCTTAAAACTTAGGGGCTGTCCAAGATAAAGCATGAAGACTTTATACTTCTTTCATCATCTCAACTCTTCCAGTGGGATGGCTCCAATTTTATATCTCTTGTCAGAGCACTTAAACTTGAAACTCCAAAAGATGTAAAACTTCCTTTGCTCCCCACATGCTCTGTGGAATCCCTGGATGGTGCAAACTGTTCATGCGCTGGGCTGCTAACCCAAATGTTGGAGGTTTGAGTCCACCCACAAGCAACTAGGAAGAAAGGCTTGGTGATCTACTTCCAGAAAATCAGCCACTGAAAAGCCTATAGAACACAGTTCTACTCTGACACATATGGGGTCTCCGGGAGTCAGGGTCTCCAGGAGTCAGAGTTAATTGGATGGCAACTGTTTTTTCCCCCCATATGCCCTGAATTTTCTATGGTCTACAGATTGCTTTTTACAAATCTTTCACACCTCTTTACTATTCTTGAGCCTCCCACCAGAAGTCAAAGCAGGCATAACTGGTCTTATGTGGACCATACAAAATTGTCCCTGCCTGTGTCTGAAATTGCAACCAAAGAATTACTCAAAACCCTGAAAGCTGACAATTTCTGCCAGCAGCATCCTGAAAAGTATATAAAGGAGGAATTCATGAAACAAAATACCTTAAACTTACCTTTAACCTGTGAAAGGGCTTGTCCAAATATGTAAAAATATTTGTACAAGTATGTGCATTGATGTGTTGTTTGCATTAGAAAAATGAGAAAATGTCCCAAATAACTATACGTATATTATGGCTTATCCTACAAACGGAACTTTACAGCTTGCAAAGAATGAGGCAGATCCTTAGGTGGTGAGACAGAAAGATGGCCACGATATATTACTAAACGAAAGAATTCTGCACAGAAATATGTATAGTGTTTATTTTTTGTAAAACAGAAATATTTAGATTCATTATTATGTGTTTGCTCATGCATTGAAATAAATACCACAGAGGGAGAAGAAGGATACTTTGAAAAAGAAATTAATCAAATCCTTTTGGGTGGCAATTTCAAGGTTCTGGCCATGAGTTTAGATACACTTTCTTTAAAAAAAGCACAGAGATTATTAAAATCCTAGATTTTCACTGGTGGGAGGGAGCAGAAAAGTCAATTCTTTCTTCCACATAATAACTCTGCAGATATTTTCTGACCTGTTCACTACATTCTAGAATATGGGGGAAAAGGACCCATCTAAAGCTATACCAGGATTTTTAGGGCCAAGAAAACACAGAAAAGTGGGCTTTGGGAATAATTTTCAAGAGCTAGCAGAAGTTGGAAAGAAGATTGAGGTGAGTCAAGCTCTCACCTGGGTCCTCAGGTGGCAACTTGGGATTTAGAACCAAGGGCAACTCTGGCTGTTAGGGCTGCCCCATCTTACCTGTAGGTTCTACACTTGTCAGGGGCATGGTCCTAATGTGGGGGCCATGGAGAGACCCAGATTGGGGGTTACAGTGACACATTGGAATTTCCATGGACAGCAGCAGGAGAAAATAGGAAAAATCTCTTTTTTCTCAGTTTCCCTGGGTTCTGATTACCTGGGATCACCAGGGGCAGGAGCATGAGGGCAGCAAGAGCCAGAAACAGGCGTCTCATAGTCCTTGCAGAGTACAAGGCAGCAAGTCCAGGAGTCCAGAGCACTGAGTGCAGTGTGAATCTGAAGTAGTCTTTATTGGTCTCTCTGGAGCAGGGGCCAAGGAATGGGGCACTGAACCAGACAAATATATAAAACCTTATCTATGTGGACTATCAGCCCCTTGGCTGGGCATTGACTGAGCATCTGATAAGGGTACTGGGAAGGCATGCAGAAATTTATAAGTTAGACACTTTGAGGAGGTGTTTGGAGTTAGGGAGAGGGAGCACTTATACACTAGGATATCTTGCCTTACTTCCCCAGACCTCTCATTCTAGCATAAGCCTGCTCTTGAACTGTCTATTTACTTGTGTGTCTACACCCACTGGAGGTCCCTGGGTCGTGCCAATGGTTTGTGCTTGACTGGGACCCTGGTGGTTCAGTGGTTAAGAGTTTGCCTGCTAACCAAAAGTTTGCCAGTTCAAATCCACCAGGCACTCCTTGGAAACCCTGTAGGGCAGTTCTGCTCTGTCCTATAGGGTCCTTATGAGTCGGAATCAATTTGACAGCAATGGGTTTGGTTTGGTTTTTTTGACTAAACTAAAGGTTGGCGGTTCAAACCTGAAGAGAGCATGGCCCTGCCGACACCTGGAATTTGGACTTCTTCCAGCGCTGTCAAAGAATAAATTTTTGTTGTTTTAAGTCACCTAGTTTGTGGTATGGCAGCCCTAGGAAATTAATGCAGTTAACAAATAACAAACTGCGCATAATTAAAGTGTACAATTTAATAATTTTTGGCACGAATATACTCATGAAATTTTCACTGCAATCAAGATAATGAACAAATCTGTTACCCCCCAAAGATTTCTCATGCCTCTTTGGAATCCCTCCCTGGCACCTCTTCTGCCCCTGCCCCTCCATTTCCAGGAAACCTCTGATTTGCTGTCTGTAACCATACATTGGTTCACATTTCCCAGAATTTTATACAAATGCAATCATATAGCATGTACTCTTTTTTTCATCTGCCTTCTATTGCTCAGCATGATTTTGAGTTTCATCCATGTCATAGGGTGTTTCAACAGTTCATTCCTTTTTACTACTGTGTAGTATTCCATTGTATGAATATACCACAGCTTGGTTATCCATTCACCTGTTGATGGAGTTTTGGATTGTTTCTAGTTTGGGCTGTTTCAAACAGAACTACTATGAACATTCATGTACAAGTCTTTGTATGGACATATGCTTTCTATTCTTCTAGATAAGTATCTGGGAGTGGAATGGCTAGAAAACATGGTCGGTGTCAGTTTAACTGGTTAGGAAACTGCCTAACTGTTTTCCCAAGTGATAGCACCATTTTGCCATCCCAGAAGCAGTGTACGAGGGTTTCCATTTCCTCCCCATACTCGCCAACATTTGATATGGCCAGTCTTTTTAATTTTAACCGTTTTAGTAGGTGTGCAGTGGCATCTCACTGTGGTCTGAATTTGTCACTCCCTAATTACTAACGATGTTGTTGAACATCTTTTCCTGTATTTATCTGCCATCCATATACAGTATCTTTTCGGTGAAGTGTCTGTTCAAACCTTTTGCTCATTTTGTGACTAGGCTGTTTGTTTTGCTTTATTGTTACTGGGTTGTTGTTGTTTTTTGTATTTTTTATTATTACTATTTAGTTTTTTGTCTTCCTAGTTTCCATTGCTATTGAGTTTTGAGAGTTGTTTATATATTCTAGATATAAGTCCTTTATCAGACAGTTGAATTACAAATATTTTCTTCCAGTCTGTGGCTTGTTTTTACTCTCTTAACTAATGTCTTTTGAAGAGCAAACGTTTCTTGTTTCAGTGAAGTTCAAGTTTTCTATTTGTTCTTTTATGCCTTATGCTTTTGACATTGAATCTAAGAACGTTCGGCCTAACTTAACAAAGGTTTTGTCCTATGTTTTCTTGAAGACGTTTTATAGTTTTAGGTTTTACGTGTAGGGCTACAATCGATTTTGAATTAATTTTATATGTGGTGTGACATATGAATCGAAGTCCACCTTTTAGTATATGGATGTTTTATTGTCCTAGCACCATTAGTTGAAGACTCTGCTTTCTCCACCGAACTATCTTTACATCTTGTTGAAGATCAGTTCTCATAAACGTGTGGCTTTATTTCTGAATTTTCTATTCTGTTACATTAATCAGAACTTGACTTCCAAGTTCCTACATGATCCAGCCCCAGGTACCTATCTGATCGCGTCTTCTCCCATCATTCCCTTTATTCACCCTCCTTTTAGCCATATCAACCTCCTGGCTGCCTCCAATATGTCGAGCACAATCTAGTTTCAGGACATTTGCTCTTACAGTCCCTTTTTCCTTGAATACTCTTCTCCTAGATGTCTTCTGGCCCTCTCCCTCATCTAATTCAGACGTCTGATATAATGTCACCTCAGCAGAGAGGTCTTTCCTACTACCTGATGTAAAATACCTCCCACTCCACCATCATGCTCTACCCCTTTTGCCCTGCTTTATTTTTCTCTGTAGCACTTATCATTACCTGTCCTATTATATATATGCTTATTATTTGTTTATCCTCTCTTTTGTGCTATTCAAATATAAATTCTATGAGAAAAAGAAGTCTTTGTTTTATTCAATGCTGTTATTCTAATCCCTAGAATGGTGTCTGTCACATGGCACGTGCTCTATAAATATTAGTGGAATGAGTGAATGAATGAGTGGAGTAAATGTAGGCAGCGTTATGTGAGCTTATGTAGATACAGAAAGTCTAAGAAACTTCCTTGTAGAATTTCAGGCTAGAAATTGGTATGTAATCCAGCTTCAGTAAACTCCATTTCTTAGGACACGGAGCTCTTTGCGTGCCATGACACATTGATCAAGGCTGCTTTACCCTTCGGCTATTATATCTGATGAGCCATCCATGCTTATTGTGACAGGGGAGAAGAGTACACAGAGAACTCACACCTGTACTCTACTGGCCGGAACTATACTCTTGACTTACCAGCAAGGATACTGGAAAATATAAAATTATGCATTGACGATTTGGTGAAGATTATTGTCTGTGCTACAATCTTGATTTCCTGTTTGTCCCAAGGAATGTTTAGAAAAAAGATTTCTTAACTTTCATGTAGTTTAATTGTTTCGATCATCTTTATGCTAATTTTACTCAATTATGATCAGAAAATGTTGTTGTTATTGTTGTTAGGTGTCATCGGGTCAGTTCCAACTCACAGCAACACCATGGACAACAGATGGAAACAATGCCCGGTCCTGTGCCATCCTCACAATTGTTGTTATGCTTGAGCCCATCATTGCAGCCACTGTGTCAATCCATCTTGTTGAAAGTCATCCTCTTTTCCACTGACCCTCTACTTTACCAACCATGACGACCTTCTCCAGGGACTGGTCCCTCCAGATAACATGTCCAAAGTATGTGAGATGAAGTCTTACCATCCTTGCTTTTAATGAGCACTCTGTCTGTACTTCTTCCAGGAAAGATTTGTTCATTCTTCTGGCAGTCCATGGTATATTCAATGTTCTTTGCCAACACCATAATTCAAGGGCATCAATTCTTCTTTGGTCTTCCATATTCATTGTCCAGCTTTCACATGCAGAAGAAGCAACTGAAAAAACCATGGCTTGGGTTAGTCACACCTTAGGCCTCAAAGTGACATCTTTGCTTTTCAACACTTTACAGAGGTCTTTTGCAGCAGATCTGTCCAATGCCATGCGTTTTTTGATTTCTTGACTGCTGCTTCCATGGGCATTGACTGTGGATCCATGTAAAATGAAATCCTTGACAACTTTGATCTTTCCTCCATTTATCATGATGTTGCTTATTGGTCCAGTTGTGAGGATTTTTGTTTTCTTTATGTTGAGGAGTCATCCATACTGATGGCTGTGGTCTTTGATCTTCATCAGTAAGTGCTTCAAGTCCTCTTCACTTTCAGCAAATAAGGTAGTGTCATCTGCATATCCCAGGTTGATAATGAGTCTTCCTCCAATCCTGATGCCGCATTCCTCTTCGTATAGTCCAGCTTCTCAGATCATTTGCTCAGCATACAGATTGAGTAAGTATGGTGAAAGGATACAACCCTGACGCATACTTTTCTTGACTGTAAACCACACAGTATCCACTCATTCTGTTCAAATGACTGCCTCTTGATCCATGTAGAGGTTCCTCATGGGCACAATTAAGTGTTCTGGAATTGCCATTCGTCACAAAGTTATCCATAATTTGTTATGATCCACACAGTTGAATGCCTTTGCATAGTCAATAAAACACAGGTAAACATCTTTCTGGTATTCTCTGCTTTTAGCCAAGATCCATCTGACATCAGCAATGATATCCCTTGTTTCAAGTCCTCTTCTGACTCCAGCTTGAATTTCTGGCAGTTCCTTGTCGATGTACTGCTGCAACTGCTTTTGAATGATCTTCAGCAAAATTTTACTTGTGTGTGATGTTAATGACATTGTTCGATAATGTATGCATTTTGTTGGCTCCTTTCTTTGGAATACGTACAAATATGAATCTCTTCCAGTTGGTTGGCCAGGTAGCTATCTTCCAAATTTCTTGGCATAGACGAGTGAGCACTTCCAGTGCTGCATCCATTTGTTGAAACATCTCAATTGATATTTTATCAATTCCTGGAGACTTGTTTTTTGTCAATGCCGTCAGTGCAGCTTGGACCTCTTCCTTCAGTACCATCAGTGCTTAATCATATGCTACCTCCTGAAATGGTTGAACTTTGACCAATTCTTTTTGGTACAGTGACTCTGCGTATTCTTCTCATCTTCTTTTGATGCTTCCTGCATCGTTTAATATTTTCCCCGTTGAATCCTTCAATATTGCAACTCCAGGCTTGAATATTTTCTTCAGTTCTTTCAGCTTGAGAAATAGCAAGCAAATTCTTCCCTTTGGTTTTCTAACTCCAGGTCTTTGCACATGTCATTGTAATACTTAGCTTTGTTTTCTCAAGCCGCCCTTTGAAATCTTCTGTTCATCTCTTTTACTTCATCATTTC